GGGATCATTTGCGGTCCCATTTGGGGATCATTTGCGGTCCGGGATCTTTTGCGGTCCCATTTGGAGATCATTTGAGGTCCGGGATCATTTACGGACCCATTTGGGGATCATTTGCGGTCTGGGATCATTTGCGGACCCATTTGGGAATCATTTGGGGTCCCATTTGGGGATCATTTGCGGTCCGGGATCATTTACGGACCCATTTGGGAATCATTTGCGGTCCGGGATCATTTGCGGACCCATTTGGAGATCATTTGGGGTCCGGGATCATTTGCGGACCCGTACAGACCCGTACACGACGCTTTCGACATCAGCAATGGTCTAGGCTCGAGCCCAGTGCACCACTCAGAAACTCAGTTGGTACGGAGCAGCCAACAATTATGTCTAGCATCTTTCTACAATTATTTTATTGATGTTTGTTACGTTATTTAAGACTATTTACCTTGTAAGAAACACTACGTAAAACATATAAAATACTATTCATATTACCCAAAAGGGAAATGTTTTCTAAGTAATACAAGCTTCAAGTTCCTGATGACGATAACGAGAACGAGAACTACCCAATACTCTTCTTCCCAAAAACTGAGGACTTAACTACTTCTTCGAAAGTTAACAGACGTTCTCCTTCTTCTTCAGAGCTAATGTAGTCAACGAAAAAGCGCCCTGGTCAGCTGTCCACGAGTCGCTTTAATCTGGTTTAATCTGGTTTAATCTGGTTTCTGTAGAGACGGCTCCAGAGGATGAGCACTAAGAAACTCACGAATGTGTTTGTTCGTGTCCTCGTATCCATCGACTTGCACCCAGTGAGTCGCTCCATCAACGTATCTGTCAAATTTAGAAATAAAAACGAGTAGCGTTTTATCATATGACGTTGTTTCACAAATGAATTTGTCGATTTTCAGGACCTATTCTGCTGACAAGCTAAAAATATTTAGACACTTTACGTTTTTGTAGATAACCAACTTGTTTTAGTGTAAAGGGGGCAAGTTTCTAGAGAAACTGTGCGGCTGCGTCTGTGGGGGCAACAAGGTAATTTGGTTATATCAACTATGTTGAAATTGTGAATTGGCCACCGTAAAGAGTTAAAAAGCTGAAGTTTCGAGCGTTAGTCCTTCGTCAGAGCGAATGGAGGAATTGTGGGTTGTGTGTGGGTCCAATTTACAATTTCAACTTAGTTGATATAACCAAATTACCTTGTTTTAGTGTAGCCTTGGGGCAAAATAAGATATTTTCGCCACTGAGGTTGGATCAACACAATGTAATCAAATTAAGAACCACGGTTGACGGTTTTGAAAGTTTAAATGTCTGGTTATCAAACATGCCACATAAAAATTCTAAAAGCACGAAGAGGTAATTTCCAACACCTTGGTACTTTCTCAGAAGCTGAACAGACGACATTTAGGGGTCTCATAAGCGACGATCTACCGCCGGTTAATGAAACTCCTGGATTACCAATAAAACCGAACTAAAACCTTACTTGATTGTCAAGTCTTCCACAAAATCTTCCGTTCCTTTTAACGTTTCTACCAGAAGAAACACATCTCCCGTTCCCTGCAATGCAAAGTAAATCAGGGCGTTCCTTTTAAAAATAATCTAACGCTGGAACACAAAGAATGACGATACCAAGTTTAATCAGTCCAAGGTGCTGTCAGCTTTTTCAGAGATGAACACCACAACATTTTTACGATTAGGTAACAATCATACAAGGGACTAGTCTTAAAGACAAACGTTTTACTGACATCAAGAAGCGATAACTGCGCCCAGGAAAAAAAATCATGACTTTTTTTCCCTCCACTTTTCAGTGCTTCGCACACATTCCCATCCATTCCATTTCTATAAATTGATTATATGAAAATCATATATGTGTGTTGCGGCGTCATGAAATGTATGAAAGCGATCCTCGCGGTAATGGACCCTACTTAATATGTAGTTGTGGAAATAAGGCCAGAAAAAAGAAAAATTCAAGCCCGTACGAGATTTGAACCCATGACCTCTGCGATACCAGTGCAGTGCTCTACCAACTGAGCTGAAAAGCCAACGGTACCTAATGACCAACATGATGACCAGCTCCCAGTAAGCTTGTTAACTAGTACTCAGGTTGGTAGAGCATTGCACCGGTATCGCAAAGGTCATGGGTTCAAATCTCGTAGGGGCCTGAATTGTTTTTCAGGCCTATTTTCCACTACTACATAAGTAGGGTTCATTACTGTGAGGATCGCTTTCATACATTTCATTCCATTTCTTTTGGTCCATCAAGGATTCAATCCTGTTCAAGTCCTTAACCTTCCATTTACACGTAAATCTATCTGTTCAGGTTCGTCCGGCAAATTGTGTTATTGGGGATATACCGTAAAGGTGTTATAGTTACGTACATATAATTCACACAAAATCCACAGTACTGGCAAATTTGAAATTCTTTTGTATTTGAAACCACACAGTCATTTCTCAATTTGGCAGAGTACGTGAGTAAAAGAAAAAAAACTTCTCTGATTGCAGATTGGAGAACAACTCTTACAAAGCAAAGACAGCCCGAAATGCGACGGGATTTCTTGGAAGTACACCAGAATATATGATGAAACAAGCGATTTTAAGGTCAGAACAATGGCCCTGTATGTGGTTTTAAAACACTAACCGAGTACGCGATCCTCAACAGTAAAATATTCAAACCATTCTATTTGGAATTCTCTTTGTCTTCAGCGGGGAGGTCTGGCACCATTTTACCCTTTCACTCCTATGATTTATTAGCATTTCTCCTTATTGTCTACCATACAGTTAATATGATGTTAGTTTGGGAGAATTTGACATTGGATCAACTACTAATTCTCTAATTCCTAATTGACATTTTTCTTTATTATCGTCACGTGTCTGCTTGATATTGTATTGATGTTGTAAAGAGAAATTCTGTCTTGGTCACTCATGGAAGTTACAGAGTTAAGGCAATAAACAGATGAAGCCAAACGCAAATATATTTAGAAAATCTGAGATCGACCTTGTAGTAAACGGTAACGTATCGACATCATGACAGTTCAAACCCCCTCTACCAGGTTGGATTTATTATCACTTACCCAAACCACAAGGGTTGGAGCCTTGATCTTGGTGAGAAAGACTCCGGAAGGCACATCTTTGTAAGAAAATGCAGCCCTGTAGTAATTTATAGGACCACTACACCCAGACTGACACATAGAATATTTGTAAGCTTCTACATCTTCTTCGCTGAAATTTTTTGTTTTCTGTGAACAAAATAAAAAAATTTCAGTTGCGGTTGGTTAAACTTGCCATACAGCACCACCCTGGGAAAACTTAGTGTACTTAACGTTAAGTTAGGGGTGTTGACGCATGAAACAGTTCGCGCATAGTTTGCGCGCTTAGTGACCTACTAAGATATTCCTTGATATTCTCATCAAACACAAGAGGTTCATCTCTATAAAGCAGATCAACTGAGTGACTACCCCCCTTCCCTCTATATAGGATTTGTTCCACTGAGAATATTTCACAAGTTATTTTTTTGCCTCATGATTTGTGATCTTTAGGAGACGCATTGCATGTTACACCAACAGATTTCTTTGTGTGATTTGAAATGTTTTCAATGTCTAATTTCAGACATGCTTGGACATGATGTCAAGTCTGGTAAATTTTTAATACAAAGCAAATTCTTCCAAGGAATCATGCATCAATTCTTTCATTTTTTTTTTTTTTTTTCAGTTTTTAATTTTCTTCACAACCTTTGAATTTCCGGGCTATTTGGATTATTTTAGGTGTGTAATGACACCCAACAGTTCCTAAAGATGTAAATGTTTAGTTCTAGAAATATAACACAGGGCCACCACTGCATGTCACAGCTGCAGTTTTTCTGGTTCAAGTTTAAACATGTCCATAATTGACCAAGTACTGTATCTTTATTGAGCTACCATTACTTAAGGCTTGTAGGCCGGGGTATAATGGAAAGAGTACATTCTTTAAAACTGGTTTTTCAAAGTACAAAGCTTTTTGTCTAAAATAAAAAATAATTTTGATAACAATCAAACTTATGAAGAGTAACAATACTATCATATCATTAATTCATCTTTTCACACAATGTTACAACAATTGCTGTTGTTATCACGTTGTATAAAAAACCCTTCTTATCAGACACTTAAACATTTAAGTCAAGTTTTGGGAGGTGAAAAGAGATACTACAAATGAGATAACAGTAAGTTGGGCTTCATCATGATAGATGCACTTTGCCATTTAAGTTTCAACCACTGAAGTAAAATGTAACTATCATTACCCCAAAACCCTCATCAAAAGCTTTAAAGTCATCCATCTCAATTAAGTACTCTGGAAGGTAAGGCAGCTGAAAGAAAAACATGTACTGCAAAAGAAAAAAACTATAATAAGCGACCTATTTAGAAGTTATGTTTCTCTTCTGAATGACATTGTTATGGCAACTACTAATAATCTAACTAATATCAAAAAATAAGTCTAAGATGGTAATAAAATAAATAGTCTCTCTTACCCAGGAAGCACGGAATTGTTTCTTACATGACTGCAAACACTTTCTAAAGCACCTAAATAAATCATAATGAAAAGAAATGACTAGTATTTAAACCATCCAGGCTATTAAATAAATAAACTCTTAACACCCTAACATCAGTTGACATATTCTCCATACTGTTCTCTTCACATGTCCTATGGTGCTGACAAGGAGATTTTACTTCAAAATCAAGGGTTGTTTTCTGTGTTTTATGCATAATGTGTTATTAAGGAGTGACATCGTATGGAGAAAATAGATGCAAGTCACTCTTAGGGGTCAAGGTAAAAGAAAAGACAGTAAAAAAAAAGACATTTAATGGAACAAAATCTCCAAGAGCAGTCTGAGTCTATACCTGAGTGCTCTAGCTTCCTAGCCTTGATGACCAACTCTGGTTGGTCATCCTCTTGGGCAAGTATTTCTAATAACGTGATAGCTAGCAGTTATATTTAAACGACTTTACAGACTGGATAATTATTCATCGCTAGAACTTTAACAACACATACATTGGGTGTGGAATGTTGCACACAATCAGCCTGTCAACAAATTCAGGGTGAATGTGTGTGAAATTCCTGAAAGAAACAAAGAAAGTTACATTATTTTTATTAGATCTATCACGTGATCTACGGATAAGTACATGTACAATCAAATTTATAGAGACACAGGAGGGAATTCAGAAAATTTCAGTCGTAGTCACATGACATTAAGGCAACCATGCTAACTACATATAAAAACAGGACAGTTTTACAAAAAACAATGTCAGAATTCAACAAACTAAATCCATGTGGGAATACATGACAACTAAATAAAACTCTATTACCATGTAGAACTACTCTGTTGCTAAAATGGTCAGTAACTGACAAAAGTGAGCTAATCCTCAACCTCCCAAGATATCATTTCAAATTGAACTGCCGTCTAGCTTCAACACGTTCCCTTTGAAACTACAGTGCTATAAGAGCTTGTTTTTTTTCTCTGTATCACAAGTCACCTGATACCCATGTCTCTTCTCATCACTTTTTCCCCGAGATAACATTGAAATTGCAAGAAAAAATACACTTTGATTACTTCTTAGAGTTGAATGATAAAATGTCATTGCACATTTGGGTTATCACAGCCAGATTTAGGATTGTTTCTTAGAACAACTGCAACCTGGATTTTAAACCACGTTTTCCAACCCAAGGTCTTGCTTCTGTGCACTGTTTACAGAAATTTACAAGAGTCTTAAAATAACCCATAAAATAAGAAATTGTTACCAAGCAACAGCACCTCCCCAATCATGGGCAACCAACACACATGATCTGTAGCCTAGAGCCTCAATCTGAAGATACAAATACTCATGTATACATGAACAGCACAAAGACAGATATATAAGCAATTTAGTCCGTAACAGCACCCCATTATAGCTGGTAAAGCTTGGATGTGACAGGAAGCCACAACTGTGACGGGAATGGGTATGCAGCTGTGCAGAGTAAAAGGATGAAGCGTTAACCACTGCCACAGGAAGTGAGGGGCAGGAAACACCTTGGTTGAACTGGTAAAAAGCTAAATCAAACAGAGCTGTTTAAGGCAATAACCATGTGCCCCTCAGGGTCAACAAGAAACCTATCAGTAATAATTATGTTATCACAAACTAACCAGGATCAACTTGTTACATCATCCTACCAGTGTAAGAATTACATTTTACAGGAAGCTGTTGACTACAGACCCCAAAAAAATTGGTTCGCATTGTGTACATGTGTGGCCTACGAAATTAAGCTGCTTTTTAGTGTCTGGTATCTTACTGAGTTTCTATTAGAAGAGCTTCAATATCTGATTACGGTTAGATAGTTATCAATATTGTTACTGTTCATCGATAAAATAAGATAACTGGCATACAATAGTCCTGAAATGTTCAGTTTCAAGATGTGGGTTAATGGCCAAACTTTGTTATGGAGCGAGGCCTCATTTTGACAATAAAGGTTGCACATCTAACCTAAGGATTTTAGGACCTAAAAAAAGCATCAGCATTTATTTAATCTCCCATAATGGCCTAATAGATTAGGTCATGATTTTGTTTACGTAACGAAGTGGAATTTAATTCTGAAGTTTGTAGGTTGACTGTCTTTTCCAAGGCATGTGATGAGAAATTAACTCTAAGGAAGCATTTCACTTGAATATTTTTGGTATTTTGTGTGCCAGTACACAAAGACAGAACTTTCCAGAAGGGCCAGGACATTTGGGAAATGATAAAATCTACACTAGAAGCCATTGTGAGCTTGATATGGTTTGAATGTATGACTAATTAATGTGTCGAAAACGAAGACCCAAAACCTAAGACCTAAGACCTAAGACCCTGACTGGTCTAAAACGAAGACCCTGTGGTCTAAAACGAAGACCCTGTAGTCTGAAACGAAGACCCTGTGGTCTAAAACGAAGACCCGCTGGTCTAAAACGAAGACCCACTGGTCTAAAATGAAGACCCCGTAGTCTAAAACGAAGACCCATTGTTCTAACTAGTGTCTGTTCAACTTAACAGTTTTTTTTTTAGGTAAACTTGTAGGTATCGAGCATAGTTTGTGAAAGACATTAACGCAAATTATCGAAAATTACTATGAGATCGTCGTCCTTATTTTCCGACATTTTATAGTGCCATGTGACTTAGGGACGACGTGACTTTTATACTGCGTGAAGCGGCCTTTGCGTGTTTCATGAGTCCTGACGTGACATTATTTTACGGGTACGAACACTCTTTATTTCATCCTTAAGACTCGTTTTTTTATTATTAATATTTCACCCTCAGTCTACATTTTACCCCTGGTCTGCGGTCTGCAGTCTGCATTTTACCCTCAGTCTGCATTTTACCCCCGGTCTGCAGTCAGCAGTCTGCAATCTGCGTTTTACACTGACCGCGACAAAATAAAATTATACCAAAATCATCACTAAAACATATATTTCTGTATTCTTAGAATTTAATTGTGTTACACAATTTGACACGTGTTGCACCGACTGAGATAACGTAACTGTCAAGTTGGTCGCGCGCTCAGATGACATTTTAATTCATGCGCTACAGAAATGAGAGCAATTGAGCCTTTCCTTGAAAAAAAAGGTTTTTGCTCCCGCAGGGTTTGGCCCAGAGGCCAAAACCCGAGGAGGCACCCTAGGAGTCCCCACGTGTATACATATAAGGAATTTCAAAATGTAAGAAAGTAGGTACTGTAAGTAAATTTGTAGTATGCGAAAAAAATCTCGATTTGATCAAACTAGGCATGCAAGGTGGTCTCGGGTATTATTTCAGCAAGCGCGCAAGGTGCTGTGAGGTAGCTGTCATTTTGCAACTACAAGGTCTTCGAGCAGCGCTTGACAGTCTTGCGAGAAAGAGTTTGCGTTTCGTCGTCCTCTAGCAGCGTTTCAAGTTCTTTCTAACAGTGTTTCAAGGTCTTGCAACCACAAGTTCGCATTCTTGCCATCATTTAGCAGCATTTCAACCAAGAGTTCGTGTTTTGCTATCTTCTTGCAGTGTGTCAAGGTCTTGCAATCACAAGTAACGTTTCGCCATCTTCTGCATCTTTAGCAGCCTTTCAAACCATGAGTTCACATCTTTGAGCAGTGTTTCAGGGTGAGTATTTTGCAATTCAGTGATTTATTTGAATTCAAAAGCATTCAACAGCACTGAATAGAATTGCATTTCAACCATCACCTTTTGCCATCTTCTTGCAGTGTGTCAAGGTCTTGCAACCACGAGTTCACACCTTTTGCCATCTTTAGCAGCTTTTCAAACCACGAGTTCACATCTTCGAGCAGCGTTTCAGGGTAAGTATTTTGCAGTTCAATGATTTATTTGAATTCAAAAGCATTCAACAGCACTGAATAGAATCATTCGGTACAAAATTTGATTTGTTAGACAAATCAGCAATGGGGTCGACAGACTCGATCCAACAGATCAGAAAGATAAACGACAGAATTGATCCAACAGATCAGAAAGATAATGTCAGACTCAGAGTTGCACTGATATTGTCAGAAAGAGATACAAAGTTTGTTATATCAATTTCCATTTGAATATGTCACTCTCGAAGATAAACAAGTCCGTGGTTACAGTTCGAAGAGGGCACTTTATGAATTCTGTTTTTGTCAACCCTAGTATTTATTCATGTGCTGTTGATGCTCTTTTGGAAGTATCTAGTACACACTTGTTTCTTCCATATTAATCAAATCTATGTACTAGGAATGGGTTTACAGATCTGCTTTTCAATGTTTGCTCACATTATATCTCTTTAAGAGAAGATAGTTCACTATTGTAGTTCATTTGCCTTGTCAAGAGTACGTAAACTTTCTGATCTTGCGATTGAACCAATGAGCTTTGAAAGACTTCAGTCAATTAAGAAGACATCAAATTATAAATTCCGTTTGTTAGAAGAAGCTAGGCTAAACATTTTGGCTGAAAAGACTTTGCATAATTACGAAAACAACTTGCAGTGAAACTGCATTATTACATTTTACAGTATCTACCATACTAATTTAAATAAGTAAATATTACCATCAAAACTTCTAACCTAAAAATTTTAAAATATACACTTGTCATTTAAATGTTTTATCAGTGTAATAAAGGTCACTAACAAATCATTCAATTCTCAGTTAACAGATGGATTATTCTGCCAGCCCAAGTCCCACAAAGAGAGCTAAGTATGGGATCCCTAAATCCCCAACTTCAACACCTCTGTCAAGCTCAACTACAAGTAAGTTTCCTCTATTATGTAATATATTAATACTACTCAGTCTAATAATTTATTACTGTTGTGTCTTCTATTACTTATGCAGATTTCTGCTCAACAGAACATTAAATTTTTGTCCTGAATTTAATAATTTTTTTCCCAAATTAGTTCTCTTCAACAGATTACACTGGATACATTCAGGACGTTCAAGAGGTACAGGAAAGTAAATCCCCCAGAAATCTGTACTTTGACATCAGCCTGCTAACTGCAAAAGACAAAACTCAGTTGGTAAGAGTCATGGTGCAAAGAGGAGAGTCTTCCAAGTCCCAACTTTTTCTTCAAAAGATGCAGACACAGCAATCCTCAACACTCTCCAACCCACAAGTTGCATCAAGCAATATGGTGTTCATAAAAAGGGGAACAGTTATTCAAGATGTACCACCACATTCCATCCAGTTTCCATTCCATCCAGTTTCAATTCCAACCACTGGCCCCAATGACATCAACACCCATGGATACCATTCTTAAGAACCACAACTCAGGGAATTTTACTGTTTCTGGCTGCATTAAATGGCTTGGAGAACCTTCCAAACCAGAACTTGCCACAAAAATGGTAAGGGAAGCTGAAATAACAGACCCCACTGGAACTATTAATCTATCAGTCTGGGATAGTCACATCCAGCAAATAGAAGACAATAAATTCTACACTGTGACCAACTGCAAACTGAAGCAGTATTTTGGAAAATGCCTTGCCACCACAGTTAACACAACGATAACGAAAGCACAAGAGCAGGACATCTCCCATGTGGAGCCTCTGCACAAACAAGCAAACTGGGTATGCTGTCCTGAAATTTTGAACATTTACCCAACTGTCTATCCAGTTTGCAACAACAAAGACTGTCGCAAGAAAATTAGTGAAAACCCTGGGTCCAAGATTGTTCGTTGTCTACACTGTAACAGAGCAATTAATGCTTCTGAAGAACTGCTATATTGCAATGAACATTAACTTTCTTCTAGAAAAAACAGGACGAGCACTTTTCAGTGACAGCATTTCCAAAGATTGTGGGGAACTTCCTACAAGAAAACATCTTGAAGTACAAAGACAACATCGACGATCTAACTGAGAAATTGCTGTTGCTCGAAAATGTAGATTTTGAGCTTTCTCAGAACAACAAACTTGTTATAAGTATGAAAGCCCATGCCTCAACTTCACAGGAGAAGTGAACAGCTAACTGTCTGGTAAAAAAAGACTGTTAAGTTGAACAGACACTAGTTAGAACAATGGGTCTTCGTTTTAGACTATGGGGTCTTCATTTTAGACCAGTGGGTCTTCGTTTTAGACCAGTAGGTCTTTGTTTTAGACCACAGGGTCTTTGTTTTAGACCACAGGGTCTTCATTTTGGACCAGTGGGTCTTCATTTTAGACCACAGGGTCTTCGTTTTAGACCGCAGGGTCTTTGTTTTAGACCACAGGGTCTTCGTTTTAGACCGCAGGGTCTTCGTTTTAGACTGCAGGGTCTTCATTTTAGACCACAGGGTCTTCATTTTAGACCACAGGGTCTTTGTTTTAGACCACAGGGTCTTTGTTTTAGACCACAGGGTCTTCGTTTTGGACCACAGGGGTCTTTGTTTTGGACCAGTGGGTCTTAGGTCTTCGTTTTTGACACATCCCTAATTTTGGACAATACATACACATAAAGTAGGACAATGCTGAGTGTAGGTTTTTTAAATGTCCATTATAGAGCACAAAGTTCTATCCTATGATAAAAGTACCAGAATCTTTCAAGTTTTCTTATTATTGATATTGTTATTACCGGTATATGCCAATGTGTTTCCCAAATTTGAGCTAAGTGGAGACATGAAATGAATCGGTGAACTTGACATCATCATGTAAATGGTCAACTTGACATGCTATCAAAATTTGTCTTTCAGCTGGAATCTTACTCAGGAATGCAACAACTCATTTCAATACTGGCAAATACATCATAAGCATTAAACTCCAAAAATGATCCTTACAACATGATAAGATATTGTTTGTTTTTATGAAATTGTCATAAAAGCCAATCCTTGACTGGTATTGTACAATCAAGATTCCCATACTTACTTTTGTTGTTTTGAAATGTGCCTTATTTATGAATTCTCAACAGCAACATTCTCAACTACAATACAACTTATTTCACTTTATGGCACTTTCAGGAGGCTTCAGACAGTTTCAAACAATTTCAAACTCTTTCAGCAACTCAGTGGTGTGACCCTCACCGACAGATCAAACTGATAGTTGTTGGCTTGGGAGAGTGCAATGACTCTTTTCAGTGTAGTACAACTCGTACAGAAGATTCAAGCTGTTAATGTTGTCTTTTACGAGTATAAAAGCTCTTGCACGAGCTGCACTAACACAAGCCGGATCTGGGTGCATTGGCTTGTGTGAAGAGAACTAACTTGTGATATGATCACCTGAAAAAAAATTACTCGAGACCACGCTTACTACCAAGATGGCTGACTCAGACTAGTATGCCTTACGAGCTAGTCGACGTGACATGTGTTTGACTCTCGTGGACAAATAAAAAAAGAAAGAAAGAAAGAAATCCAATAG